GGGCATGGGCCCCAGATAGATGCCCAGCCATGCCACACCTTGATGCTGCGCCTGAAGGGGGCACCCCACACCATGCCTAATTACGGAATTTACCACCCCCATGTTTATTTTTATGTATCAGGATTTATACACTGCTTGATTAAATAAGAAAAACTCTTGTCAGTTACAAAAAAACCGCAACAGCATTGAAATTTCCATTCAAATACAGTTAAAAGCAGGTATTTGTAAATATTCAAAAGAGGATTAAAAATCAACAGCAAGGAAAAAGAGATTAAACGGATGTCGATATTCTACATGTCTTGGGTAGGCTTGACTAAACAAACATGTTTTAAGCAGGTGCAGAAAAGGGTACAGTGAAAGCGTCTGCCTATTGTCAATAGGCAAGGAGTTCCAAAGGGTAAGAGCTGCCACAATAAGAGATCAATTTCCTACAAGTGCTGAATGAGTATGATATCACACCTATAACCCTGCCAGTTCCACATACAGAAGTGGATGAGTAGGCATATATGGGGTAAGGCGATTGTACAAGTCAATAAAGTTTGGTGGCTTTAAGAACATGTAAGTGTCACCCTAGCCAAAGGCTGCTAGCCATTATAGCTGAATGGTTTAACAATATGCCAGATTATTTGTTCATCTAGCTCAGTGTTGCATACTCTAACTGGTGGTAGTTCTCCAAGTTCTTGGGCAAAGGTTCTGCTCGTCATATGCTAAACCAGCATTTCTCAAACTTGGCCCTCCAGCTGTTGTGGGACTACAATTCCCATTCTTCCTGACCACTTGTCCTGCTAGCTAGGGGTGGTGGGAGTTGTAGTCCAAAAGCAGCTGGAGACCCAAGTTTGGAGAACACTGTGCTAAATGGTCACTTCATCTCAGAGGTGGGGAACCTGAGGCCCAGCAAAAGTGGCCCTCCAGATCTCTCTAACTGGCAGTCAGAACTTTCTCTAGGTCACAACCCTCTTTAGACTCAGACACATCCAACCTTGCTTTGCACCTTCTTAGTGTTTTTGCCTGGCTGCAATTTGCCCTCAGACTCTGATAATGCCTCTTACTTGGCTGGGTGGACAATAGAGAGAGAGAGAGAGAGAGAGAGAGAGAGAGAGAGAGAGTGTGTGTGTGTGTGTGTGTGTGTGTGTGAAATAAATTACTGTACAGAGGAGGGGGTGGAATGCATTGTTGTTCTGCTCATTTTTACCTCTGGACATGTCTCCTACTGGCATGTGGCCCCCAGAAGGTTGCCAAGAAGGGAATGTGGCCCTCGGGCTGAAAAATGTTTCCCATTACTGGTTTAACCAGGATGGCAGAAATAGCCTTCCTCCTGCCTGCCGTTGAAGAATAGTTCCTGTTTCAAGCACTATGCCCTTGAATAATGGAACTGACATGTTCAGAGGCAGTATGCCTCTGGTTACCAGACAAACATTAAGGAAAGGGCATCACCTTCATGGTTTGCTTGCAAGTTCCTGGCTGCTGCAGTTGGCAACAACGCAGTGGACTAGGTGGGCTCTCAGTCCCATCTCACAAGGCAATTCCTGCATTCTGGTGTTCTCAGAATAATCTAGCCACCTACTGCTTCAATGGAGCAAAACAAGTAGGACATCAAAGGGCTTACTAGGAGCACAGTGCAATCATCTGACATTGTTTCTCATGATTAAATATGGAGTCAGCAGAGTGGGCGTTTACTCTGCAACCATTCACTCTAGGCACACAAATCACAAATCCAGAACCAGAGACATGCAGCTGACAATCAGCAAGGCTCAGCTGCTGGGCCAAATGTGAAAGAACACCCTAATTTTAATTTGCATTTGAGACTGTATTTAGGCTACTTTCTTGATCATCCTCTCAAGTGTTCCAATCTATAAGGAATTATTATTGCTTTCACCCTATTTTCTGACAGGTGGGAGTCCAAATAGAAAACAGCAGAAATTGATTTTGTGCCTCTGTGGCCTTGGGGTGCTTGCACATGTTTTTCTTTAACAAAACCTAAAATAGCAGCACAAGTGCTCCAGAGCAACTAATTGCTTTTAGTTGACAAACCAGAGCATGCCCAGAGAAGGTGAGGTGTCTGGAAACTAGGGCTGTGCACCGGATTTGGCTGGAGTCTGAATCAAATTGCAAAGCTTCTAAGTGTCCCGATTTTTCCAGGACCATCCCGGAATTACAGAAGCCATCCCAGTTTCTGATTTGACCCTGGAATGTTCCAGTTTTCCTATTTCCTTCCCCTTCATGTCTTGGAGAACAATTAAAAGGGGTGTGTGTGTGTTTGTGCGCATGTGCGTGCAAAAATGAAGGAAATGGTGAAGCACTTCCTGTAATTTTGAAGGAAAGTGTAACCAATCCACTTTAAATTATTTAATTGCAATGCTCCAGCAGCCAGCAATTTTTTAAGGAAACATGTGGAGTGTTTATTCCTTTATTGTAAATTGATCCTTACACTGCAAGCCTTTACATGTCTCCTTAGAAAAAACAAAAAAAAATCCTTCCAGTAGCACCTTAAAGACCAACTAAGTTAGTTCTTGGTATGAGCTTTCGTGTGCATGCACACTTCTTCAGACTAACTCCTTAGAAGTTAGTCCCACTGAATTCAATGGAGCTTACTCCCAGGTAACTGGGTAAAGATTGTGCAGCCTTACACTGCAATCCTAAGCATTTTTACTCAGAATTAAATCCCACTGAGTTTAAAAGGGTTTACTCTCTGATATGTTCCTTATCATTCTCACAGTTCTTGCTGGAAATTAGCAACATCTCACTGGAAATTGCCATCGATGCCAGCATCACTTCTCTGCAGATGCTGCTGGGCAGATGAGGCGCCCAGTGGTGGAGCTTCAGGCTCTGGCACCGGGGGGCAGAGAGCAGGCAGGGGCAGGGGCAGGGCTGGCACGCTTCCCAGGGGCATGGCAGCAGCGATGGCACCCCCCCGGGATCGTGCTGCCGGGGGTGGTGCGCTCCCCCGCATGCCTTTTCCTCCGCCAGTGGAGGCGCCCATGGGGACAACCCCTCAAGGGCTTCTGCTGTCTGAGGCAGCAGCCTCAGCCTACCCAATTTCTGCCCTGGCCCTGTAGAATATGATGGCAACTGTTTGCCCCTGTGACCAGCCAGGCCACAGCATTTTGTGCTAATACACATGCTTTCCGGGATGCGGGTGGCGCTGTGGGTTAAACCACAGAGCATAGGGCTTGCTGATCAGAAGGTTGGCTGTTCGAATCCCCATGATGGGGTGAGCTCCCGTTGCTCGGTCCCTGCTCCTGCCAACCTAGCAGTTCGAAAGCACAAAGTGCAAGTAGATAAATAGGTACTACTCTGGCGGGAAGGTAAATAGCGTTTCCGTGTGCTGCTGTAGTTCGCCAGAAGCGGCTTAGTCATGTTGGCCACACGACCCGGAAGCTGTACGCCGGCTCCCTCAGCCAGTAAAGTGAAATGAGCGCTGCAACCCCAGAGTCATCTGCGACTGGACCTAACGGTCAGGGGTCCTTTTACCTTTATCTTACACGTGATTTCCACACTTGGAATGAACTGATCTTCCAGTGTGGCAGCTCCTCTGGAGCTCTTACATGGCACTGTTTTCTGTGTCTTCTAAAAACCTTTTGGTATAAGCCAGGCTAAGCAGACATGTACATTTTAATATGTATTTGGCATGCATCTTAATATGTATTTGCATGCATTTAAATATGTATTTATCATATATAATGCATGTATTTTAACAGCTGAACTAATTTGTATTTTGGGTTGTGCGGTTTTGTTTTTATGTGTGTGTGTTTGGCCAGCTTGCTTTTAACACCTTACTTTTGTTGATCATTTTAATTCATGTGTGGTTTATACAGTTAAGCAGTATACAAATTTTGTTACGTAATTAAAGAGTCACATTTTCTGGGGGCCCCTCAGTCAGTGCACTTGGTGAACAAAGATGTGAAATTATATGACCTTGTTGAAATTCTCTTAAGCTGCCACCACTGCTCCAGCAGACCTTTCCGATGGGACTTGACCTCTCTGGACCAAATAGCTGTAACTACGTAGATAACAGTCCTTTAAAACATTCTCGGTGGTGACATGCATGAGCCTGTCTGACCTGGCAATATGGAAAGATCACCTCAAGAGGTGGTGCATCAGATAACAATACATGTGAAGATAGATATCAACTGTTTTGGGTAGGTCACCCTACAGAATGAGGTCATGGGTAGTGTAATGGGATCTAGAGCCTTTCACCTCCAGGTTGCAAGCATCATATCGAATCTAAGTCAGTGTCGGTTAAACAAACAGGGCTCAAAACAGTGTCTGAGGAGCTCTTGAAGTGAAGGGCAAAGGCAAGCAGTGTGTCGGCAACTTAGAGAAGAAAGAAGTGGCTGGGTGCATCTCAGGTGATGAGGAAACTACTAGGCTGAAATCAATGGACAAAAAGCCAGGAGTTAAAGTAGTTCCATCCTATATTCTTGTAGCCAACTCATGGGCTGCTAACACAACATACATCTGAAGCACATTTGTTGTTGGCATATGTCTGTCTTGAAAGACAATGAAGTGCAGCTCTGGGGGTGAGGTCAAACAGCTACCTTAGCATTACCAAAGTGACCCCAGGGCACAAACCTGGACAGTGTTTATGGAGGTCCTGGGCTGCCCAGATGACAAGACCCTACTCTTAGTCTTGCTGATGTGGTCCAAAGAAAAGAAGAGCAATAGCACCAACTTGGCTACAGGAGTTGCCAGAAGGAGGCATACAAGGCCATCCAGGAACTCCACTCTGGATTTGTGTAGAGTTTGCTCCTTAGCCTTTTCTTCTTCCAAAGTTATCCAGCAAGGTAGCGGAGGTTTAGGATCAGCGTTCTCCTCGATGGGCTACCTTCCCAGGTTGAGGGGCCCCACCTGTCCCTCACTTCCCTCCACAGCTTGTGCAAAAACCATCTTCTTGATCATTGGACCGTTGGACCCACTGCTGGTCTCATCCTTTCAATATGTTTGGCATCAGCTTGGCTTCAGGAGTTGCCAGAAGGAGGAGTACAAGGCACCATCCAACTATCTTAGGGACTCCAAAACACATTTAAAGCACTTGATTTCTCCCAAAGAACCCTGGGAACTGTAGTTTACCTCCCACAAAGCCTCAATTCCAGCACCTTTTAAAATCCCAGGATTCTTGGAGGGAGGTCATGTGCTTTGAATAAGAGGCTTCTGGATCAGACCAGTGGCCCATTTAGTCCAGCACCCTGTTTTCACAGTGTCCTATCAGATGCCTATGGAATACCTGGCAGATCTGCACACACTGCCCTGTTCAGACCAAATCAGTCAGTCAGTCAGTCAAGTTTATTGCTTATAGCCAAAGGCTGCTGCAATGTATACAATGTCATTCAATAAAATATATACTAGTTTGATACAAAAACGTAAAATATTTGCATTGTCAAAACATGACCTAATCTGCACAAAGCTATAGAAATTCCTTAATATACAAATTGAAACATTAGACAATAAAATTTATAAGCTAAAATCACCACGGGGCCACTAATATATTAAAAGTAATATTAAATAATACAATAGACAATTATGTACAAAGTTTAGTGAGAAACATACAGTTTGGTGTACCTTGGGCAACCAGATACCAAAATTTCCCTGAGTCCTTTTGAAGTGCTGCATCTCCCAGTGCTTTCCACTGTTGCTCATAATATATTTGTTTCTTACTTTTAAGTAATAGTTTATAACTGTATCGTAATTGAGCTACCTCAGCTTGTAGAGCAAGATTGTGCTTATTGTGCTTTAACTTCAATTTTCTAAGTTCCCTAGATAGACTTTTTACTATTCTGACATTCATTATCGAATCATGTCTGTCTTTTGAACTTTTTATTTTTGATCACACTGGTTGTGGTCATCAGGGGGCGCATTCGGTTAATTATGTTCTCATAGAGTCTGATTACATTTCCTGATTCTAACAACATTTCCCCCTTTAATAAAGCAAACTCATGAGAATCCAGGATCTGGATCATTTTTTCCTGGACTTGTGCATTCCATTTTAACCTTCTGTTTCCAAGTATCAGATATTCCGTTTCATCCAATATTTTAGGGAAAGCGGGAGAAACAAATGGCTCAAGAGATAACTCAAGTGGAAAGTGGTCACTTACAGCTCTGGGGATTATCCTAAGGGTGTCTCAATTAACTGGCACATTATTAGATGTTAGGATATAATGTATGGTGCTAGTAAATCCACTGGGGGAAATAAAAGCAAAATACTCCTCCTGATCCCCTTGTCCGTGCCCATTACATAACAAAAGATTGTCCTTAATTATAAGTTCACAGAGGTATTTCCCAGCGCGGTTAGAGGTGGTGTCCATTGCTGCCCTCTGGCAGATTTTGGGTTCGTCCTCCAAGTTTAGTCCAAATAATATTATATTTTGTGGGGAGACAAGGCCAATCCAGGCATTGAAGTCACCCCCCAAGACAAACCGAGGGTTGGGAGACAAAGAATCTATACTTTCGAGTAGTTGGTCAAGTCTTTCCCAATATGAACTCAGTTCCCCACAGGACTTTACTGGGGGAATATACACGCAAATACAATATTTCTCAGAAGACTATCAGAGAGGGATAATACTAAAAAATTAGGGGTGGTCAGCAAGGGGCACAGTTGAATTGTTACATTAAGAGATGTTGACACCAGCCCTCCCAGCCCCCCACTAGGCCTTCTGTGCTTTGTGGTTTTAAGTGCTGGTTGGGTGTAACTTGTAAAACCCTGTAATTCAACCATAGTACCTTCTTTTGCCCAGGTTTCTTGCAGGAAAATGATATCATGTGTTTGTAAGTCGGAACAGAAATCACTGTCTTGAATCTTGTTCAGCCACCTTGTTACATTCCATGATAGAAGATAGAAGTTTGATTGTTTTATAGTGTTTTCCTCTTAGTAAATTGCTGGTCATTGTGCTTTTAGAGTTTGCCAATTTTTGAGGCAACAGGGTATCATTTATACTAGTAGTGTGATCCAGATGTTCAATAATTTCAGTCGTTGCGCATGAAGTGCTCACATTTGTGTTCATTGGACCTTTACTTTGCAAATTATTCACCAGCAGAGATTTCTTAAGCGTAGTTCCTAACTCCTCCTCATCTAAATGTCTCATCTTTGTCCAGAACTCCAGTGGTTTTGTAGATATCAAGCAGTTATGGACATTGGGTCTGTTATCAGTCTCTACCTCCGATTCTTTGTTCTCTTTCAATGTCTGGCTCATAAGGTCAAGTCTCTTGATAACTGTTTGTTGCTTTTCCTGAGAGAGGTTCCTAAAGGAGTTGAGGAAATCATCTTTCAAAGGATTTATGGCATACTGAAATTCCTGGGGTTGATTATCTAGAGAAATTGGCTGTTCCTTTTGGCCCTCCTGGTTATATTGATGTTGAGCATGATTCTGCGAATTCAACCCGGGCATGTCTTTTTCCTCCTGGCTTATCGAATTTGTTTGTGATGTCATCACTTCCATTGGGGATCTAGGCTTTGGTTTTGTGGGTCGCTCTGTAGCCCTAGTCCTCATCTTGCATAAGGGCACGACAATAGAATTGAGAAATACCTGGGTTGGAAAAACTCCTCTGCTTGACAATCTGGGTTTCAACTTGTGGATCAGTAAGGGCAGTCTGTTAGAGGAAAAAGTTAACATGGTTTTTTGGAATTGGTTTGTGGTATTCAGGGATTCAGTCCCAACTAGATCAATCTCTGTAAGTCCAATTCCAAGTAAGTCTGATAGATGTCGTTTGGCACGTTGGGCGCCTTTCCAGTTAGGAGCTTGATCTGATCTTCGACAGATTGTCATGCAGATCTTTTTTGGTTGTAAGATTAGATGAGAAGAGTTGATTTTAAGGACCTCTACACATTCTGTGTCGAGCTTAGGGGTCTACTCTTGTTGACGCCATTTCGCTTTGGTGCTTTGGTGGTCTATTGGTACCTGCTTATTATTAACAGATAATCTATGGACCTCTTGGGATAATTGAGTTATTTGGGAGGCGATACCTCGAATTTGCTGGAAGATGTGTTCAACCATTCTTGCAATTAAAGTTAATTGGGTGCTCTCCCTACTTGTTATTTCTTCCTCTATTTGAAGCTCAGAGTCAGCTTGCCCCATTGCTGAATCTAGTTCTGCACCCCCACTCCGAGTAGTCTCCTCACATTTACAGTCAACTTCAAGAGGAGAAAACTGGCTTTTTGTTGAAACTGTAAAAACAGATTTGTTAAAGAAGTCTTCCATTTTTGATTGAGAGCTGGTGGAAGGACTGCCTCTTCTGTATCCCTGTAGCGTTTACAAGCAGGCATAATAATGCGGTGATGAGTAAACAAAGAGAGGATTCCTTAGCAGGAAAGGAAAGGAAAAAAGTGTGCAGTTTATTCTATTGAAGAGCTTCTCTGTGTGATGACTGCCAGGAAGTCAAAAAACAAAGTGTAAAAGGGAGCTGGCAATTAACAGCTAGCAGCTAACGGCCTGCCCAGGATGCTTCTCACAGTGCTTGCCCCAGAGTGTTTCTTATAACATAGATAAGAAAGTGCTGATAAGTTCTCAGTGAATTTATAAGTTTAAAAGTGGAGAAAGGAAAATCACTTTCCTGAGCAGCAATTAAAGTCAATTAGAGTTCTGCGGAGCTCCAAAGCCTGCTTTCTGAACCCGTACAGACCAAGTGGATATTTAAGATCTTCAGAAGAATTTCCACTGGCTTTTCAGCATGCAACCTTTGTGCTTTAGCCAAAACCTCATCTTCCATGCACAATAGGAAGCTATCAAGAAGCTTGGGAAAACTCCAAAGTTTGTAGGAGTACCAAAAAAGGTGGTGGAGCATAAATGCCCCAACCAAAACACAAACCCGGAGTGGGGACGACTAAGCATGCTGAGTGGATATGAAATGCTGACTGTTGTGTGTGGCCGGGGAATAGAAAACTGGAGGAGTGGAAATGGAGTAGCTTAGGAAAGGGCATGACTGACTGGTGACCACTTTAAGCAGGAGCACACTGTTACGTTTTGTTGCAAGTCCCACTCATTCAGTAAATAATTTTGAAACGGGAGGCATGCAAGAGCAGTTTGTGCTATGACATGGAAACATGGGCAGAGGGGCTGATAGTCAATGTCTTGGGTATCCCTAAAGCATGCACTTCCTTCCAGAGATGATCCATGTGGGTTGATTGAAAGGTGTGATCCATTCACAAGCCAACCCTTTTAGCCTACAGGGAGGTGTCAGGAATTCTAAAGCTTGATAGGTGGGGGTAGAGGTGGCTCAGGCAGGGAAGTGCAGCTTGATGTGGAAATAGACACTGTTCCTAAATCATGCAGACATGCTCATGCAGCCACTTGCTTGTAACTCCCAGTAGCCCCATCTCTTGAGCGGTGCTGGAAGCATGTTAGTCTATAAAAAAAACTCTTTGAAAATCCAAAGCCATAAATTTGCTTGGCTAAAAGGCAATGTTACTTACTTCGTCTGCTTCTTTGAAAAAATTAGTCCCAGCAGGTGAACTATTACACTTTCTGAGGATGCAATGTGTTGTGTTTGCGTGCTGAATGCACTGAAAAGTCATCAGTTACAGTGTTGCTATCACTACTTGTAGAAGCAGCAACAAACCATGACCTTATTTTATCAGCCAGATCTGGATTTGCAGACTGTTCTGCTGCCTTTGTGAAAGAGAACAAAAAGGCATTCTCACCTTTTCCTTGCACAATTGCCATTGCATTGAATGTGCGCAGCTGCTCACAAGTGTCTATGCATGACTCGCATTCATTCCAGCTGAGGCATTTTGGGTGTGTTTTTGCCCCCAAAGCCTTTCATGAAACCTTTATCCCCATCTGAAACCTTGGAGTGTTTCTGCCAGTTCTTATAGACAGTCGCTGGGCTAGATAGACTAGTGGTCTCACCATGGAGTTCAATGGCATGCTCTTCTGTACAAGGTCTATTTTATACAAGGAAGACATTGCAGTTGCTTCATATGTAACACATTGACTCTGGCTCCAGCATTAGCACAAGGCCCTTAGTTGCTGCCAGTTTTAATAGTGCTCTTGTTAGTGGGACCCAAGCATCTAAAAGAGTATCATCCTCAGTACCAGCTGCCTCGAACCCTATGATTGGCAGGTCAGGCCTTGCTGGCAGTGCTGACTCATAACAGGACAGTGGTGGTTCCCCAGTTCTGGGATGCCCTCCCTAGTGAGGTGCGCCTGTCTCCATCATTTAGTAACTTTCAGGAGGAATTTGAAAACATTCCTGTTTACCTGAGCATTTGGTGGTGGTGGAATACTGTCCCTGGCAACCCCGAGATCAGATGATGCAAGGATGTTTTTAACTGAAACTGCTTTTCAAATGGTGTTTTTTTAAAAAAATATTATTATTGTAATTGTTTTTAGAATGTTTTGGCCAGTTTTAGAATGTTTTTGCTTTCTTTTTGTTTTTACATTCTGTATCTGTTTGCCACCCTGGGCTCATTCAGGAGGAAGGGCAGGATATAAATTTGATCCAATCAATGATATTATCACTATCATTTCCCATTCCAAAGCACTGCTGGGGAGAGTGAAAGAAAGACAACGGCATTCATAAACAAAGCCAAAGAACAAACTCAAAACCATAATGAATGGAGCTTCTGAGGGTAATCAATTTGCATAAATTTCCCTTGTCAGGAAAGCAGGCAGGCTGAAAAAGTTGTGATGGGCACTGTGACCTCATGCCACCTTGATTTACATTTTCCACTAGGGACCCACTCATTACATCCATGTCTCATAATAATCATAACTCCATGATTGCTACACATCTGAAAATGGCTTGTGCAGGTCCCAGGGCAATTAGTCTCAATGGTGTTATCAGAATGGATTGTTTCACAATTATTGTGATGTGACAGATGCAAAGGTGGAGGGGGAGAGGGTGGGAGTCAAGGCTTTCCATCACGTCACACAGTGTCGGTTAATAATGGGAACATATAGCCATTAAGAAAAACATGGGCTCCTTTCCTTATTACTACCATGTTCTGCCTTGTTCACACTCTGCAATAATTCATGCCTTCAGTGAAGCATGGGTAGCTGAGCCTTCAAGTATGGATAAATTGCCAGAGTGGCAAAAACTTACAAATGAGCAAGGGATGCCTTGAATATATGTGTACATTTAAATGTGGGATTTGCTATTTCCTTGATTCAAATGCAGTTTTATCCTGAGCATCCAAAACAGAACTGCCCACATCGTAACATCATTCTACAAATCTAGGGTGAGATCATACTTGGAGTACTGAGTATAATTCTGGCTCTCTCAGCAGATATGGTAGAACTGGATATGGTTCAGAAAAGAGGCTACAGAAGGGAATGGAACAATTCCCATTTGAAGAAAGGCCATAACATTTAGGGCTTTTTTGTTCAGAGAAAAGGTGAGTAAGTTGTGAGTTGGGCTGGACTGTCCCAGAACAATCCATGGCTATCAAGGGATGGGGCATCAGGCAGGAAGGAGAGGCAGGCTGGATGGGGAAACCCCACAAAAAAGCAGAGACCTACCTGACTGGTGGCCATGTCTTCCCAGGAGAAGGTAGGCCCAACATAGGCCCAATCAGGTAGAAGAAGAAGAAGAAGAAGAAGAGCCAGTGTGGTGTAGTGGTTAAGAGCGGTAGTCTCGTAATCTGGTGAACCAGGTTTGCGTCTCCGCTCCTCCACATGCAGCTGCTGGGTGACCTTGGGCCAGTCACACTTCTCTGAAGTCTCTCAGCCCCACTCACCTCACAGAGTGTTTGTTGTGGGGGAGGAAGAGAATGTTAGCCACTTTGAGACTCCTTAAAGGGAGTGAAAGGCAGGATATCAAATCCAAACTACTCCTCCTCCTCCTCCTCCTCCTCCTCCTCTTCTTCTTTTGAACCCCTTAAAAAAAAAACCCTTAGCTACCCCCATTGTTTGGGGAAAGTATTCACAATTAGGTGGGTGGTCTCTGGGGCGGCAGAGGGTGAACTGGCCCCATTTGGGGATCACAAATCAGAGGGTGGATCAGGGGGGGGGTCTGTGCACAGCCTACAAATAACACCCTCCCAAAAACCAAAGTCAGCACACACCACTAGACTATTTCCTAACATGTCAGGGTAAATATTATAGTTTTCCAGCTATTTATCTTCAGTGATATGTGAATTATCTCTCCTCCCACCCATGATAATTTGAATATATTTGCAAAAGCTTGAGGGAGTTGAAACTGTTCTACAGAAAGATTCCCCCCTAAGTCATAAAGAAATGTGTCCTATCCCTATCAACCCCCCCCCCAAAAAACCCCACCGTAATTCTTCAACTAGCCAAATATCTCAGGGAAATAAGGTAGTCAGATAGATAGACTTTTATGTGATATCAACATTTGCATATTTTTTCCTCACTGTCTCTCAAAGAGAAGCAATGATGTGGACAGAATGGTGATGCTTCATCTCTTTCTTTGGGGAATTTCTTATATCATACAGTACTAAAAGAATTTTTAATTGGACTCATTTTATTTTATTATTATTTTAAAACATAACCCGACAATGCGCATATGAACCCCCATGGTTCCTCAAGGCTTCAATAAGCTGCCAAATAATATTATGGGAGTTATAACTGGATTAATGAAAAGCATGTAACAAAATTATCATCATGAGGAGAAATTATCCTATTGGGGACTTCTGCTCAAATGGGGAAAACAAAATTTGTGATAAGATGTAAAGAAATCTCCCTCGCATAAATTGTCCTGACTTTGTTAGCTCAATAAATAAGCCAGCGATGCGTTCCTTCCTGGGGTACCATTCAAAGTATATGTAAAGATTCAGGCACACTAGGCATAAAACAGCATTTCCCCAACCTGGTGCCCTCCTGATGTTTTGCTATACAACTCCCATCAACCTTGACTGGGAGCTGATGGGAGTTGTAGTTCAAAAGACCAGGAGGGCTTCTGGTAGGTTCCAAAACTGTGTGCTAGGAGACAGTGCCAATGCACAATGATAAATCCATAAATTTAACTGTATGGCTTTCTGGGCAAGGCAGGGGAGCTGTCCAGCAGGCTCCGTCAGGGGCTAGTACTGAGCAATAAGGGAGCTGTCCAGGAGGTTTGCTAGACTAGGAGCAGGTCTAGGAAGACTGTTGCACCAGCAGCTTCCAGGCAGCATTAGAGGTTGGACACTTGTAACTTGTTTGACTGAAACACCTGTGGTTCCTAGAAGCTGTCAGAATGTGACAGAGGCCACACCCCGGGAAACAACTTCAGCTGGCTGGCTAAACCAGGTGAATGGATCTCAAACCTTCTGTGAGTTAGGGACTCCCCCCCGCATGTGAAAGCAGGCTCTGGTGGATTGAGCTGATGAGAGCAATGGTGGGTTCAGTGGTCAAGAAGGCAGTTCTGCACATGCTGTAGATGAAAGTGATGGGCAGATGGGACTTGCCAACAGCTATGTGTAGTCTAGGACTGTGCTGTGCATGTGCCATTTATACCAGTTTACACTAACATTGTAATATTGGGTTGTATGGGGTATTAGGGAAGGGCTAGTACCTCTGTAGATTACCAGCCTCCCATCAATTAAAACAGCTGTTGACTGGAGTGGTTTGAGTGATGTCTCATGGATTGGAGAACATGGCCAGGACCTTGAGATTCCTCTGTGTTAATTGCATCAGAGATTCCTAGGCTCCCACTGTCTTACTGAGAACTTCTCTTGTAGATTCATTTCCATGCATAGACACAACTGTCACATTTGCTCATTTTCAGAACACTGGAACCTCATGTGCACATTAAGTTTTAAATGTATTTGCAAAAGCTTTAGTCCTTCCTTTCCCTTTTTATAATTATATTGAGCTGGACCTCAGCTAACCCCACAGATCTTTCAGTCTACATCTGTTTTAATTTCTTGTTTGTCTATTGCAGTGTGAACTGGGTGTCATTTAATATCTCCCTTGCCACTCATCCTCCTGTTGGAAGCAAGCAAAGTTCTCTGCCTCTCTGCCTAAACCTGTGCATCCATTGTCCTTTGTCAAAGGCTTATTTTCTCCTTTACTGACATCCTCCTATATTTGCCAGGTCTTCTTGTTTGCACTTAACCAAATTGCAACCATCCTTTCACCTACCTTAGCCTACCTTGTCATTTTTTAAGCACTTCTTTAGACTTCTTTCTGCCATTGCAACACTTCGTTGTACAAAAGTTTTGCATCTTTTTGCACCCCTGGTGTTGGGATGTGATTAGATGCTAGAATATATATTTATTAGATATTTTCCTTCCTCATGTCTGTAAGTTTAGCAGAGTGCCATCCCTTTGCAGCTTAAAATGGAAGCTTATATAGGCTAGTTTTAGCCCTTTAGTTTAAGTAATCCAGGATGCTTTAAGGCAGTCTGGATTCTCCTGGTACTTCCCTCCTTTTCTCCCCCTTAAAACAATAACCACTCACAAACAATTTTGAGAAAAGGTAAAAATTATGTTCACTCACTTGGTATGTTTCTTGAAGAATACCACAGCTTTGTTCAGGCAGGCTTAACATAGTAATTCAGTTGCAAAGACATACTTAAGTTTAGCTTAAAAATGGAGCCTGAACTTGGAGCTCAGACATGCAGATGTTGTCATGTTGCAAGCATGGTGAAGAAGAAGAGAAAGAGGGTCTGCCCAGGCAGGCAGGAGGGATATATAGCTAAGCCCTTTTCCTTAGCTATACATTCCTTAGCTATTCCTTAGACATACAGGGAGTGTTCTCACAGAGTTCTCTCTAGCAAATTTACAGGAATACACTGTGAGGCTCAACAGCTACATGCACCTATCTGGCAAAACATGAATTGTTGGTTTGACTGCATTTAAATATCCCACAACTGGCAGTTGATTCATTAGGCAGAATAGTGCATTGCCCCATTAACCTCAGACTCTCCTCTCAGACCCTACCTCCCTGTTTCCTTACTTACAACCAGTGAGGGAGCAGCTGTGCCTACCATTCACTCTGGTTCCACCTACTATTGGTCTCCCCATCTTTTGCCCTACCAGTCCCAATGGGCACCAGCCACCACTACTCTGCCACATATGATGCCACACACACCCTGCCACTCTCCTCTGCACAGTTTTAAGAGGCTGAACACATAGTGAAACTTTTATTTGTGGGTGAGGAACAGGAGGAAGAAGCTGTTGGATGAGGGGTGGATGACCTGTGGCTTTCCCGATCTTGATGGCTTATGACTTCCATCACCCCTGGCCATTGGGCTATGCTGGGTGGGTCTTATGGGAGCTGCAGTCCAGCAACATCTGGAGGGCCGGAAGTTAGCTGCACCTACACTAGATCAACTGCTTACTAGCAAGCAGCCCAGTAGGGTTAGTGAGATGCTGCAAGATCTGTTTTCTCCTGGTGGCTTCTAAACCTCAGAAGGTGTCATGGTAAGGATAGAGGAGAGGCCGGGAGAAGGCAGAGCCTGTCTCCCCAGGGAGGAGCAGGCAACTCTGAAGCTGGTAGCATAACATAACTGGTTGACGGTGGTAAGAATAAGTCTCCCCTCTCTGCCTCACCATGCTGAATCCAGCTACTTATGTCCGACAGTAAATGGCAAAAATACTTAGAAATGGTAGTTCTTAGGAGTCAGGACCCATTGACTCCCACATGCAGGGGACTGGGAGTCCCCCTGAAACTTTGGTGTTCTGTTTCACACCAATGCCGCTTGTTTATCATTTCTTTTAAGTATTCTATAACATCCATTATATTCCATACATTGCCTTTCAACTCTCAGCCCATAAAAAAATCCAGCCTGATCTTGATGAATTAAGTCCTTTAATACTGATTTCAACCAGTTTGGCAACATACATGCAAAAAGCTTATAGTCTTAAATCTAAGTCCTTCATTCTGGACCTGACTATATCTGAGCTATGTGCGTCATGGAAGCAAATATATACATTCCAGTCATTCTACCCCTTTTGCCTCAATTTTTAAAAATCCTTCCTCTGCTGTCAAATTTAGCATTGTAAGCTCCATAGGGATCTGTGTTCTTGTGCAAAGTGCAGTATGTAGTAATGTGTAGTAATGGAGAAGGACCACAGCTCAGTGATAGAACATCTGCTCTGCATACAGAAGGTCTCAGGTTCAATCTGCTGCATTTCCAGGTAGTCATGTGAGTAACACCTGCTAGGAATCCTGGAGAACCTCAGTCAGTTGGTCTGAACAATAGTGTGCTAGCTTGACCAAGGGTCTTGCTTGGTCTAGGGAAGCTTTCTCAGTTCCTGTGTTGGTGATGGCACCATTATCCATACTTGTGTTGATCTTACTCGCTGAATACTATCACCAAATTAACATGTCTATCTCTTGGTGATCTTAGTTCCTACCTTTGCTTAGTTTGTAGCTCAAGTTTATTTCTTCTTCAGGTCATAAGGATGTAATTACCGGATGTCAAATTAGAAGTTCAAGTTCTTCAACCAGAATGAGAGCCCAATGATTGCCAGAGGTAGTCCCTCCTAGATACACATTGGCAAGAAGTGATTTTTTAAAAAAAAAAGAAAAGGAAAAAAATGAGCTGGGTTGTAGTCTTTCCCACTATAAGTTTTAATTCCCCCAAATCCATCTTCAAGTTGGCCATTTTTCCATCTGTAGACTGAGAGGTAGAGAGAGTGCAAGTGAATG